AAGGTGGCGCTAAGGACGGACTTGAGGACGACAGTAATTCTATAAGAAAACAAAAAGCAGAATGATCACTAAATTCAAAACTTGGATGAAAGTACACAGTTATTCCCCGGGTATCCAAGGTATCCAATCGATGAAATGATAATCCATGACAATCGATATCAATCAATACCATTTGATATCAATTTATCGATTGATATTGACAATCGATGGCGAAGATTCGTGTGGTTATCGATTGGTTTTTCGATCATCGATTTCCATCGATTGGATACCCCGGGTGACACGGAAAGGCAATGAACGTTCTCTGCGTTGAAAACACTGGGTAGGAATCGTCCCTAGGGTTTCCTAAAAATGGCGGATGATCGGACAGGTAGCATGCGTGACGTCTGTTCGAGGTTGCTGTGCCAAACGATGAACGGTTTTTTTTGTGGTTATCGATTGATCATCGATTGACCGATACCAATCGATACCAACTAACTAATCTTATAGATTGATATAGATTGATCGATTGGTTTTCCGATCATCGATTTCCATCGATTGGATACCCCAGGAGTTATAGTACAATAGAGTCTTGATAGTTCATTTCTCTTTCATCAATAAGATACTTCTAAGTGAACATAAGCTTTGTTGACTTATATAAGCCCTGCTCTCTACATACATGTCTCTCTTAAATACCTTGTTCACGAAACCCATCATCTTCGCACGCGCTTTTGCGCCGGCGCGAAAAAAATACCGGATAGGGCTTCTGTTCACACTTAACAACATCAGTGATTCCGGAGCGATTTCTGTAACAGAGCGAGGCAGGGGCGGATCTAGGGGGAGGGTGCAGGGGTGCGCCCCCCTGAGATGACCTGCGGTTTTCTAATACCACTGGTATTCTGCAAAAAAATAAAAAAACTATGTGGTTTATTGTGTTCAAGTAGAGCAAGAGACGAGTGCACCCCTCCTAAAAAAAATCCTGGATCCGCTCCTGCGAGGCTGCACCGCGTCGATCTCTAAAGCGGAGAGTCACATATCGGATAAAAGTGTTCACACTGTATCGGATAGTTTTTTGTTTCGGCACGAAAAGCTATCGGCAACGACGACGACGACGACGACGGTATCGAGAGAGTGCGTCAAAAAAGCGATCACTGCTTTGGATTTGATACCAGCTGCAAAACAACACCTTTGCAAGTGCAGTCAAGATTTTTTGTTATTTCTTTGCTGTCGTTGCACGACCTAGACGTAAAACTGCCTAGTTTCACGTTTTGTTGAGGAGGTGAACACAAACCACAGTTTTACTAATCGCCGGACTAGCAGGACTCCATAGCTTTCTTTCCACTATGCACGCGAAGCGATTTGTCGCTGCGATGTGTGGCCGCTATTTTAATAATAATAATAATTTACATTTATATAGCGCAAACCTCTATATGAATATATTCGGTTGCGCTTTACAATATTGTTATATTAAATTTACTACAATAAAAAGTATTAAAAACTATAAATAAAAATAAATAAATAAATAATGATAATAATTAAAAAAAAAAAAAAAAAAAAAAAAAAAAACTATTATAAAAGCCAAAAATTAAATCTATTTAAAAGCTAAATTGAAAAAATGAGTTTTAACAGCAGTCTTAAAAGTGTCCAATGTCTTCATGTTGCGAATTTCCGAAGGTAATGCATTCCAGAGATAAGGTGCAGCTGACTGGAATGCACGATCGCCAAGAGTTGGATGGGTCTTAATGCATGGTAACTCGAGGAATATAGACTCATTTGACCTTAGAGAGTACTTGGATTGCTTTTTGGTAGTAATGAAATCAATTAGATAATTAGGAGCTTGACCATATAAGCACTTAAATGTCAAAAGTAGAATCTTAAACTTTATACGGTAACTTATTGGAAGCCAATGAAGGTGGAAAAGCAATGGTGTAACATGGTAGAATCTAGGTGTTCCGGTGACCAACCGAGCCGCGGCATTCTGTATCCGTTGGAGTTTCATGATATGTGAATTCGGGAGCAGCTAACACAGCGGTCGGGTTCCCTGTGGGTTTAGTTTGGGCATTTTATTGATACAAATGACCTCCAATAGCGGTATTCTTCTTTTCAAGTTCACTACAACGTAACTACATACCGCAAAACCATCCTTCATCCGAGTTGTCTCCACAGTCATCACTGCCATCGCAAACGTCCCACATGTATATACAGATTCCATTGTGGCACTTGTACTCATACGAGCGGCAGTTTGAAGGGTGGGTCCAGGGAGTAGTCGATTGAGTGGGTCTAGTTGTATCTGTAACAGAAACGTGGTGAAATATGCTAAGCTAGATTGTTACTTAACAGCTAGACATGCCACGAAAATAAAACGTTCGCAGCGACAACAATAGCAAGGCCTGGGAAAAAATAAATGTTGGTAAAAATAATATATATATATATATATATATATTCCCGAGTGTAAAACAGCCTCGCTTCTTTTGGTTTATATTTTGCAAAAAAAAACCGCTTTTCTATTTGATTGACTATAGAAAAAGAAGCGCTTTTTAAATACAGTAGGACCCCGGTAACTCAAACTCCGATAACTCAAATTCCCCGCCAACTCGAACTAAATTTCGTTTCCCTTGATCAAAATTTCTCTCAAATTTACCCCGATATCTCGAATTCTGATTCTTGAAACTCACCACGACTGCCGGGGCTAGGACAAAATACTGAACTCACCGTGGCCCTTATTTACACTCTGCTGTATGCTGAAGTGCTCAAATACAAGTAAACTATCAATATTAGCCCGCGAGACTTAAACAATGAAGCGAATAATTTTGAAACCACTCGATGTATATCTTTTTAAAAATTGAGATTTAGAGATTAACCGTCGTTTTATATATTACTTATTAACCGAGAGTGAGGTCATTACAGGAAAACCTCAGACCGAGGCCTTGCTTGACTTGATGTATTGACCGAGCGATAGCGAGGCCAATACATCAAGGCCGAGGTCTGAGATTTCCCTGTAATGACCGAACGGGCGAGATTAACAAGTTGTCTATTATATGGCCTCTTCATTATGGACCTGAGCCTGCGATCAAGAAAACTAACAGCTGGTCAGCGGAAAAACAAACCACCTCAATGAGTTGACACTTGAGCTCGCGATACCGTCAGGTGACACTGGTCAGCGGACACCCTTTTTGACAGCTGTCAAATGACCATGACATGGGTGTCCACCTCGCTCAGAATGAGACGACATACATCCGGGACCTTTTTAGTCGCTGGCGCGAAAATTCACTTCTATTCTTGACTTCAAAGGGTCAAATTAAAAGAAAATGGCCGAAAATCGACTACCAGCACTTACTTCCTACGTTAGTTTCAGTAAAGTTAGCATATGGATTTTGTAGATAAGGTGCTAACGAAGCGAAAGAGACTTTTCCAAGATTACACTAGAACGCTCGTCGTAAGAGTTAGCACATGGGTTCGTTTACTTGTTGTCTAAGGAAGTTCCCTGCCATTTTTCAAAAGAAATGAACGATCAGAAGTGATTGGAAAATGGAACTTAATAAGTTTCCTACTAGTTAATCTGGTCTCTTTGCTTCGTAACTCTTCGTAAATTGCATAACAATCGATAAGCAGTTCTTTGAATTTCCCGCGATGATCCACAATTGAATAATTATCTCACACAATGTTCCCTCAAGCGTTTAAAAAGACGCAGCGCTTGCTTTTTACATGTTAGCTGACTCATTTACCAAGAGATAATAATAATTTTTCCCTCTTGCATTTACTTCACTTCCATCGTCTTAAAAACAGAAAAAAGACGCATGGAGTTCGCAAACCAATCAAGTCAAAGAGCACGTCTTAAATATGGTCTGCTTTGACTGGTTTTACGAAACTGAAGCACAACGATTTAGAAAAAGCATGTATTAGAAGAAATTGTTTGGGCGTCGCCCGCACTCAGATCATTCTAACGTATCATGAAAAAAGCTGCACAACAACATAACCTTTGTTGAGCGCGATCCGCCTTAACTTATAGGGCAAAATGTACTCAGTTTTACACCTAGGTATTTCCAATTGAGATTTACACGTCACGCATCAAACCGTTTGATTGACAGCTACCGATTCTTTTAAGAAAGTAGTTGGCATTTACCTGGCTTTCCGAAAACTTATTTATTCAATTATTATGCCCTGCATCGAAAAACTGGGCACTGTAAGTGCATGTCGCCAAAGACAATAGTATTCTGGGCGATAATAAGAATGTCCACTATTAAGTTAAACACAGATTGTATATACCTTGGACACCCAGCTGGTAATGCCTGGTCATTACAACAAAACAGCTAATCAGAGCGCACGTACTATTGTAGCCATATAATAAATGACCTCAGTTTCTAAGGTATCCGCTATTTTTTTGTCGGAAATTTCATGATTACACTAAAGTGAGAGCCTCTCATTACATTTTCAGGGAATTGTCTCCAAGTTTCATATTTTCGTGGACAACAATAGCTAACATTTCTTGAAATGCATTGTTAGTTACTGCTGTTAACTTGAATATGAAACTTGTGGACAAGTTTTACTGAAAAGTTTTGAACATTTTGACGTCATTTCTATGGTCGATAAGAGTACAGACCATGGAAAAATGTTGCCGATTAGTTTTTCACAATCACATCGACAGTTTTGATTTCCATTTCCCTTGAAGTTTCTCAGAGAATCGCTCGCGCGAGAGAGAAGAACAAATTTGCCACCATCACCCATTTCCAAGGGCTGTGTTCTAATCGACCATAGCTGTCAACGAAACAGAGCGCGAGAAAAAAAGACGCTCATTTATTGTAAAACTATGAATTTTAATAATTCGAAGTTATGGTATTGGGCAGTGTGGTCAGTGAAGTCTCATAAATAAAAATGGAAGAAGAGAAAAAGAAAAGCCCACCATGATAAAATCCAACCGTGGTGCTGTTCGTTCCAAAGCCACATAAAGTAGAGCAGCGAACTTGGAAGACATAACTTTGACCCGGCATGAGGCCGTCTTTATAGTCCTTCCGTTTCATTGTCCAGTTCGTTGATTTTGCATCCGTTTTCGTAAGAGTAACAAGCTGTCCTTTGTTTTGGTTCCTTACTATTATTTCGTAGAACTAAAATAAATAAATAAATAAATAAACAACCGACGGAAAAATATAAAAATATGGAGGGATGGTTCTTAACTTTTGAGTCTGTGGATAAGAATTACGGAGCAGTAATTCGATGTGATTTTTATGCTTTATAAGGTGGTTCTTACTTCTAAGTCTGTGGATGAAAGTCTTATGGTGTAACCATTTAAATGACAGCTACAGAGAATTGTCATAGCTGTACATGTGTAGCCATCATGAGTTGTAATTGTGGAAGCCTTACGTTATAAGCCCTGTACGTGGTTTCTATTTAGGGCTTCCTCGCCACTTTCGCTCTGTAATCAGTATTTTTTCTTTCTTTCTTTGTAAATTTTGTGTAGCAAAAATAGAAATGAATAAATAAATAAATAAAATAAAATAAAATAAGCACTTTCGTATATCTATATATATTTTTACTTGCTTTGTAAGGTAGTTCTACCTTTGGAGTCTTTGGATAAAGCCCTAGGGAGTGGCAATTCATACAAAAGCTTCTGAGCAATACTTTCCTTTGGCACTGTTTATTAAACTATACAATGTAGTTCTTAATTTGAGTCTGTGTCGAGTCTGTGGATGAAGTTCCGGTGTGTGTTGATTCCAATGAAAGCCACTCATCAGTACTGACTTTCCTGTGGCACCGTTCATTACACAAAGTGGTTTTTACTTTTGAGTGGTGGATGAAGTTCTATCGTGTGCCACTTTAACTGAAAAGCTACTGATCAGTATTTTCTGTGGTGATACTATTTATTATTCTGTTCAAGGCCGTTCTAACAAACTTGAGTGTGCATGAGATCCTAATTAGGTCTAAGGGCAAACGTTCGAAGTAAGACAATCTACTACCTTAATATCAGAAGTCTTTACATCATGTGGGGCATTCCATGTCAACAGAAAACCCTTCTCACGTTCTTTTGACCAATCTGTGCCGTTTGTGTCTTCTCCTCCACCAATGAAGTTAACCATCAGGTTAGTAACTGCACCAACTGAAGGCTTTATTTCAAGATAGACCTTGCTGCCCCCACTAATACCACGTTTTGTTTGTGCTTTGACTGTGAAAACGTACGTGTTACCACAAGGAAGTTTTACGTCAAGCTTCGGCTGCGAAGTAATAGTTCTGGTGGTATTAATGAAACCGCAGTGGTCACATTCAGTGATAACCAAATAATTCTGGAGAAATAAGCAAATAAATAGACGGTCATTTCTAACCCGACGAAACCCGTACTCTAGTATTACATACCCTGCAACTACAGTAACTTATCGTTCTGTCTTGCACATTCTAGGTAAGCTCGGGGCTCTCCCCTCACCAAACATTACTGGGTAATTTAGTTTTCTTTTCATGGACAAACTTGAAGATTGCAATTGCAATTTTTGAAAAAATGTTAGCCTAACAGCTTTTCAAAGTTCGTTTCTTTTGTTAGTAACTTTTGAGGCCGAGAGAAATTTTTTGATGCGAAGCTACGGTTTTGTAAATTCCAAGTAAAAACGCTCTAACCTTAAGTTTCTTAGCGAATTTATAAAGAAGGGTTATTAGCAACATTTACACAATTCAGAAAATTAACTACAGTCATGACAGTACAGCTCCTTCAATATAACCATAAATGATTCCAGCAGCTGTATTCCGGATTCCAAGGCCCAGGATTCCGGTGCTTTTAAAAAAATTCATCGCTCCAGAACAAATAAATATGTCATTCCCGTTCGCTTACATAAAATGTCAGGCTAAACAATTTTAAACGCCCAGTGGACTGATCTGTTACAAGAGAGAATGATTCACTCTTGTCTGTTATTATTTTTTCCCCTCTGTCTTCTTGTCATTTTCACTATTTCACTCACGGATGATGGTACCGGGCACAGTATCAGCCCCCGACTAAGGTTTGTGTTCCAAACCCACTAATACTGAAAAAAAAAATGATATTATGTATTTTCTTAATTTTGTTTGTACTGGCTTTCTTTTCTCTTTTCGACGATCAGTTCCCTCGATTTTGTCCTTTCAACTTATCCAAATCATTTTTTTTTTTTTGAGTTCCGGATGCGGACACTAGTTCGTTGGCTTCCAAAGAGCTCATTCCCTGTTGTTGGCTTTTAGTCGGGATGTTCCAACACAAGGAACCACCGAACCACAGGAAACCGAATGATTAGAAAGGCTCGCAACAAAGATGTCTCTTGTTCCTCTAGGATACACATGATCAGGCACAATTTTCGTATTACATAAGTAAAATTATACTGTTTTTCGTCCTATAAGTGAGCCTCATAAGTCGAAAAAAATTGATTTACTTGCACGCGCCAGCATAAGCCTTGATTGGCTCCGAACTCAGAGTAACATCTTTGCAGGGGGAGATCCAGGAATTTTTCATTGGGGACAGGGGGGGGGGAAGGTCAAAATTATGGTTCAGAAAGGACTGTTGAGCTTTTTTGTGGCAAATTACTTTTCCCCCACGCTCCCTCCCACTAGTCCCTGAGAAGGCAGAGACGACTACGTTTTTCTCAATCTGTGAAAGCCAGTCGCCGTTGGCGCGGGAAATTTTGCTTTGCGAGCAGAGGAGAACAGATTACTGAGGGTACCCAAAGACAATCACATTTTTGAATATCCCTGGAAGTTAGTTTAGTGGCAAAATACAACACGCGTTTCATTAAAAAAATCAGCCAGTTAAACAGTGATATACAATCCTATCATTGTAAGAATTTTAGTCTCCAAAAGGTATCAGGTCTGATGGGGGGTCTGAGCCCCCCCGGACCCTCCCCCTGGGTCCGCCACTGCTTTGGTGCCCTTTGATATCCTTTCTACAGCATTTGGTAACTCGAACACACCAATTGCTAGCTACAGATGCACGTTCTGAACTTGAAACACAATCATTATAAACAGCAGATAAAACAGGGGAAAAAGTTATTCTTTTCTTTAACTAGTTACAAAAGATACAGTCCAAAGCTAGTTTTATTTCATAAATGTTTTAGCGCACAACGTGGAAGAATTTCTTCTCTCCTTCCCAAATGCGCGGGGCAGAATTACGTGACGTGACATGCTTTGCATGACTGCACTGAAAGCTGGTTTGCCTGTGGCAGTTCGACAGTTGTTTTCGTTTCGGTCAGTGTAAGACGCAGACTGCAGACTGCAGACTGCGGACCAGGGGTAAAATGCAGATTGAGTGTAAAATGCAGACTGCAGACTAAGAGTAAAACGCAGGCGGGGATAAAATGCAGACCAAGCATAAACTGTAGTCGTGGAAGGGTTTAAGGGTACAAAAATCCCGCAAATACACGTAAACGAACACTTACTTGACGACATCTGCTTTCACAAATCCATTCCTTTCTTCTCTGAAACGTCGTCGACGACCCGAAAACATAATCGCACTCTTGAACCTTTTTCCGTCCGAGAGACTTCACACTTCAACTTTAGATGCGAAGGTTTCGACATACGTGACCAGGGACCGTCAATTGGTACAACACCACAATGTTTTACGCTGAAATGAAAGCTGCTGACCCAAAATACCGTACAAGAAGAATTATGGTGATAAAAAAGGGAGTTCATTCCAACAACAAAAAAGGTGTTCTGCAGGAAATTTGGGTAACCTTCTACGAAAGTGTTGCAAATCAAGGTACTTAGACTTAAGCTGTTCGGATGTTCATTGAAACTTCTGGCGAATGGGCAATGCACTTCGACTCGGAAACGAGTGTAACTGATACCGGCTAGCTATTTCACCGATTTGGAGAAGAAGGAGCACAAATGTTTAAAAACGTCTACAGTCTTTATTCTGCATTTTTCACCCAGCCTGCATTTTACTCTCAGTCTGCAGTCTGCATTTTACCCCTGGTCCGCAGTCTGCAGTCTGCAATCCGCAGTCTGCGTTTTACACTGACCGTCGTTTCGCCGTGACGGCAAGTGAAATTGTTACAGTTCAGGGGCACCCAACGAGGATATAGTTCAAAACCACTTAACATAGCATTGTTGAACATATTTTAGTATTAAAACGGTAGATATAGGCATATTTTTATCCCCTAAAAACTTTTCATCTGTTCGGATTTCCTAGCTGAAAGTCTAGTGATCCGAAAATTATAGGGATCGAAACTTACCTTTTCGAAAATTTCAGCCAGGAAAAGGCTCCCGAAAATTCTAGGTGGCCTTTTTCAGGGGCGGATCCAGGATTTTTTTTAGGAGGGGATGCACTCGTCTCTTGCTCTACTTCAACACCAATAAATCACATAGTTTTTTTTTTTTTTTGCAGAATACCAGTTAGTTGCAGGTCATCTCAGGGGGAAATCCTAGGAGAGGCAGGCAAGCAAGAAATTTTACAACAAATGTTCCGAAAATTCTAGTTCTCAAATCGTCTTCCGAACACATATTTTCCCGAAAATTGCCGTTGGGTGCGCTCGACAGTTAGAAGTTCAAATTAATATTCTTCGTTCATTTCCCTCTGGAGGTCTTTCCGAGGAATCTTCTGAGTAGTTCTATGGACTCTTAAACTAACACAGTCTCAGGTGGGTGTCGTTGGATTAAAAATTGTTAATTCGATGGTCTTCGTTAAATCGCTGCATAAACTTCAGAAAACGGAACAGATCACTCGTGACTTTTGTATTTTTTACTGGTTTGTGGACTTTTTGACACTTAATTAATACTTTAAGTCAGCGTTATTTACAAAATCTATACACATTTCGGACCAATATTGTTTCAAGAAGTTACCGAATAATTAAAGGTTTGGCGCCTACCGTAATTCGCATTTGGTTGTGCTCCGTCAGAGGTCACGTTTTTTCGCCGTTTTTAGTGTAATATTTACATTTGCTTTGCTTTGTCAGCGCTCGTGATTTCATTTACCCAAAAATTTTATTTCGCTAATTTAAAGAAAGAAGAATGCTTTTTCAGACTAAGCAAGCCTTGGTGTGCAAAGCCATGCACCAATTCGCTTTTTTAGCTCGTGAAAAAGTGCTACATTTTGACGGTTGATTAAGCGATTTTGAGTCAACAACTTTGAAAATTTCTTTAAAACTCTCTTGTTGACCAAGTGGGGAACTAATCAATTAAAATTATAGAGGAAAGATAGTAAAAATACGAAGTGTCATTATATATTAAGCCAGTTTTATATTAAAATGTACGAGTTACTGAATATGACTCTAATTTCGCATAATTTTTGCCCATTTTAGGCCTAGGGAAGAAAAAAATTCGTTAAAAAAAATATTATTCACTCGATCGTACTTAAACCAACGATTTTGTAACTAGGGCCCATAGGGCTTTATTCTGGCTAAGTTTGAGGGCACGTCATTTTTTGACTATTTCCTCGTCTAGTTGATATTTACGCGGAGCCGCTCTTAAGGTGGCTCGATACAGTTTTTCAGGGCCAATACCTCCCAAGTTTGAGCATAAACTACGTCGCCATAAAACAAAGTTTTGGAAAAATTGCCACCACAGTTGTGTTAGATAAAGATGAAAATTTGTTATGATCAGGGTTGCAACGGCATCGGAGTTGTCATAGCAACGAAATGACGCTATTACCAATTTTACTTGCAGCAGTATTTCTCGGCACTGAGAACTGTTCTTCCAAAATCGTTCACGGGAGCTTTTTCCTCCAATGGCGGCCTCGATGTTCGTCAAGTTTAAGCGGAATCTGTAAGAGCGTTTTCGAGATATTTTGGGATGAAGTTTTTATGGTTAGGAACACAGTAAAAAACGGACAATATTGTTGTTTGGCCGTTATCTGTAGAAAATGAAGCGCTTTTTAAATGCAATTTCACCTCATAGTAGTTTCAATCTTTTTAAAAACGTGTGTGAAAAATCATGGAGATTGCTCCAGCCGATTGCTAGAAAGAAGGGTTTTATTAGTATGTATCGAAGCGCTCTTGTTAGCAGTTTTGCAAACATTTTGGTCTTCTTTAACAAAGTAGGGAATAATTTTTAAACCGCTCGATAGATTTTTTTTAAAGTTTAAGATTCTGGAGATTAACCTTTCTTTGATATGACCTTTTAGTTTCAAGATAATTGATACATTGTAAGGCAGTAAAATAAGGGCTACAATTCGTTATTTTTTTATCTGAAGTTTCGTTATTACAAGTGAAAGCCTCTCATTATTCAAGGCATTGTCTCCAAGTTTCATTTTCACGTGAACAGCAGTAACTAACAATGCATTTGACATATTCAAAAATGCTAGCTATTGTTATGCGCGAAAATATGAAACTTGGAGACAATA